CCATGTTGAGCTGCGTGTGGGCACGAGAGTAACAGAGATGGGTCTGGCCCTATGTCTGGGGGGCTCTGAGTCTGGTGGAGGCAGAGGGAGGGGTTGGAACTTTTGTGGAGCTGGGGGGGCAGAAAGGGGGCCCAGCTGATGCAATCTCAGCAGGGAGAGGTAGCGAGGAGGTGACACCATGAATCAGGGTCTTCAGAGAAACAGAACCAATAGAATGTATGTGTTTAAAGAAATGTATTAGAAGTTGGTGATTATGGTGGTTGGCAAGTCCCAAGATCTGCTCAGTGAGTTGGAAGCTGGGGACCCAGGAGAGCCGATGGGATCGTTCTAGTCTGAAGGCTGGCAGGCTGGAGACCCAGCAAAAAACTGATGTTTCCATTCATGTCTGAAGGCAAGAAAAGGCTGATGCCCATCTCAAGCAGTTTAGTTAAATATCTGGGTACCCCATGGCTCAATTAAGTTGACACATAAAGTTATCACCCAAGTTGAGTTGAGAGGAAATGAATAGAGGTGAGCCCAGTGGTTCTCAACCTTCTGGCCCTTTAAATACAGTTCCTCATGTTGTGACCCAACCATAAAATTATTTTCGTTGCTACTTCATAACTGTAATGTTGCTACTGTTATGAATTGTAATGTAAATATCTGATATGCAGGATGGTCTTAGGTGACCCCTGTGAAAGGGTCGTTCGACCGCCAAAGGGGTCGCGACCCACAGGTTGAGAACCGCTGGGTTAGCCAGATGGAGAAGGTCACTGGGGGGAGAGGGAACAGCACCTGATAGTAAAGGTGTCATGCATATGTGGGGAACAGTGAGCGGTCCAAATGGTGCTGAGGGTGTAGGGAAGGCCTGGGGTGCTGGGCTGGGAATAGGAAAGCCACAGGCTCGCCCAGGAGGGCAGAGTTTGGGTTGGCCAAGTTGGGTTTGGGCTGCGATGGGTGCTGGAAACAGCCAGAGTGGATTTCCCAGGCCCAGTCAGCTCCAAGGGAAAGCCCAGGCCAGCCCGTGTTTGCTCTGTCCACAGGAGCCCTAGCCATGGACAGTCACACCCCACAGTGACCAGCAGCCTGGTGCTGGGAACGTCAGGGAGGGGCAGGCCACAAGGTGATTCCAGTCCCAGCTTCCTGATCACTCCCAATATCTAGGCCTCAGTTTCTCCCTCTCATATCCCTCTCATCCCTCTCACAGTCCGGGACCGCTGGCTCCTAACTGCTCACCTGCCTGCCTGATTGCCCACAACTGCCTCTGCAAAATGAGGATGATATGCCCTTCACTGCTTGCCAATGACAGGGCTATTGCTTCATAATCTAGTAGGGTGAACCATATGAAATGGAATGATATTCAACAGCTTTCTGACCTATAAAATCCTCAGCGTCACACGGTGCAACCCAATGACAGCACCGTTCAAAATAACAGCAGCTGCGTTTCTCGCCCACCGTGAGCCCGGAGCCGTGCGGGTGGGACGTTTGCAGCCCATGCGTGACCCTCTGAGACACATGTTATTACCTTGGCCCTTCGGATGAGGGAGCTGAAGTCCAAAGCGGTTACATAAGGTGCCCCGAACCACAGAACAGGTCTTGAACTTAAGCAAATCTTCTTTTTGGGTATTTCCTCCGCCGAACACAAAGTTCCTAATTAGAACAGCTTGCTCTGCCAATGTATTCTTCCTGGCTGTTCAGGCAGAAGACCACAAATTAATCGTCGGAATCAGAGCTCAGCCATGGCCTTGATGAAAAAGTGTGGATGAACCGGCTTCCTCAGCAAATACATTCTTTCACATGGGTGCATGTCCCTGTTTATCTAAACCTCACCTCTGCACCTGACCTCACTGTTTTCTCATCTATCTGATCGGGGAAATATCCTCTTTTCTTACTCCTACTATAGACACATTTTTGCATTTTGATGTCTTTAGAAGTGGGATGTAATCTGCAATCCCTGAAGTAGTTATGGAATGCAAGAATCTGTCTTTCTTTCCTCCCCACCCCAACCTGTCATTAAACTGATGGTGACTGGTGTTAGAAATAGGCGACCCCTTAGAAGAGTGGTTCTCAACCTGTGGGTCGCGACCCCTTTGGGGGTCGAACGACCCTTTCACAGGGGTCGCCTAAGACCATCGGAAAACACATATATAATTACATACTGTTTTTGTGATTAATCACTATGCTTTCATTATGTTCAATTTGTAACAATGAAAATACATCCTGCATATCAGATATTTACATTACGATTCATAACAGTAGCAAAATTACAGTTATGAAGTAGCAACGAAAATAATTTTATGGTTGGGGGTCACCACAACATGAGGAACTGTATTAAAGGGTCGCAGCATTAGGAAGGTTGAGTACCACTGCCTTAGAAGCACATTTGTTTCACTTAACAAGCATTTTACACATGTGGACTGATTTAATCCTAACAGTCCAGAAGGTAGGTATGTACGATCATTATCCCCATTTTACAGGTAGGAAAATTGAGGCACAGAGAAGTAACTTGCCCAAGGTCACACATCTAGCAAGCGATATAGCTGAAAACACTTCATCCCCAGCCTACACTGCCCTGATGGCTATTCTGTCTCTTTCTTCCCTGTCAAACTTCTCTTGAGATTGTGGCAGGGCCAGATGAA